ATTATTCTCAAAATAATACAAATAATATAAATTTTATAAATATCTCATCATCTATTAAACTAAGTAAATGTTCTCCTAAACCATAATTAAATGTTCATTTACAAATATTATATGTTTTTCTTTCCTTCGTGAACAAATTCATTACACGGTACGGTGTTTCCGCTATCGTTTTTGAGCTTCAATCTTCATCCTTTCCTCTCTCTTCCAAGATGCTCATCAATATAATCCTCTTAAGCTTCACTCTTCACATTTTTCTTACTACTTTTCAATCACTCTTCAAATTTATTTGGGTCAACATAAAGCAAATGAAAAATTGGAACAATAAGTAGTTAACAACTGTTTGTTGCCTGGTCGACGCCACCACCACAACTAGGGGTGTTAAAAAATTGGTCCAGACTGAAAAACCGGTCTGGACCGACCCCGGACCGGACCAAATTAATCGGTCCGGTCTTCGGGTCGAGTACTATATTTTCCCGGTCCGGTCAAAACCTCTATAAAAACCAGTCTTGGACCGGACCGGTTTTTTGCTTAAAATCATACATAAAACCTTTAATAATAATTAAGATTATCCTTAACAAACTTGGAAAATTTTTGTCATATGAGCTTTTTATATACCAAACATACAAAAAAAGACATTAAAATATTGTTTTTCCTTTATTTTTTTTCGAGTTTTCCATAAATTATTTAAAATTTAGAAATTTTTGTTTTAAAAATTCTAAAATCGGTCCAAATTAAACCGGTCCGGTCCGGGTTTTGGACCGATTTTTCGGTCCTATCCTAGCTTAATCGGTCCGGTCTTCGATTCTTGAAATTTAATTTCTCGGTTTTCGGTCCGGTTCGGGTCATCGAGTTCGATATTTTATTGACAAAGGGATAAGAAATTTGCGAGGTGGTGCCATTTACCTTAAGCAATGGGAGTGATGTAGAGAGGCTTGCAGTGCATTACAATTTGTTCCTCGCCATTGAGCACCACCCTCATCATGGGCCGTACAAATTTTGTAGCATAGACAAACGAATGATTCCTTAATAGGTTAGGTCCCGTGTCATGTACGGTAATTTTTCAATAACTATTATTTAATTAATTTATATGTAATTAGAAAAAAATGAATCTGTCTAAGTTATTAGTTATTACTTTGTAAAATGAATTTATTAAAAAAGAGTATATTATTAACAATATAAATTTTTTGAAATACGCATATATGTATTTATATACCGTATATTTCACCAACAAATTTATATCATTGTCTTCTTGTTAACCAAATGAATATCTTATCAATATGTATTTAGCCCGTAGATATATATATTTTTTTCAATAATCAACTAACTTAAAATATTTTTTTTTATATCTTTCCTAGCAAGCTTTTCATACATTATTAAATACAAAAATCTTTAAAATAATAATTAAAAAAAAAATCCTTGCTGTAATAAAGGTAGAGTAGTACATAATACGGAGTACTATGTATTAATGTATGTCACAAATTATGTTAAGAACTTGAATTTTATTTTGGAAAAATTGAAAACAATAATCCCAACTTTTAAAAGTTTTCTTAAAACGGTCCCAATTTTTAAATTACTTGTAATAATCCTAACTTAAAGACCCATCTTCTTTTATTGGACCTTCCTCATTTTCCACCTGATGTAGCAGAGGGCAACAACAGTTTTTTATTTTTATTTTTATTTATTTTTTTTTTTAACCAATTGGTTGTTGGTGTAGTGGTGATTGGAACTGCACTTGATAGGCAGAATCTGTGTTCGATCCCCCGCAACAATAATTGGGAAGGGACTAGAACCTAACCACCCAGAACCGATCCTCGAATATGGATTAGCCCAAAGGGTGAACCGGATGGAGCAACAAAACAAAAACAAAAAAAAAAAAAAAAAGTTATTTTTTTTTATTTTTTTTATTTTATTTTTTTTTCCTCCCATTTACACCCTGCTTTCCCTTCCTCTGTCATTTCTATTGTTCTTGTTTTTGTTTCCACCATAATTTTCGCTGCCCTATCTTAGTTTCCCTGTTCGTTTTTTTTCTACCACAATTTGTTTGAAGGTGTAACTGCAGATTTTGTTTAATATTTGGCTGGGCAAAAAAAAAAAAAATCTAACCGGGTCGAAAGTTACAGATGTTTTCATGGCTGTTTTTTTTTATTATTTTTTAAAGTATGTGCTGTTTAATTTATTGTAAGTTTATAAGATTGCAGTAGTTTAATTACCTTTGTAATTAAAATTAAGCATACAATTATAGATCAGTCCACCAAATAAGCTTTGTGTAATTGTGTATAATTCTTTGACATTATACAGTTGAGGAAAATTGGGGCGAATTATACAGTTTAATTGGGGAAATTCGAAATTGGGGGAATTTGGGGACGAAATATTATTACAAATTGGGGAAGAATTCGACATTGTATTTTAATTGTTCGTATGATATGTACTAAAGAGATCAGAAACGATAAATACATTAATAAGAAGTCATACGACATCTATTAAAGAGATCAGAAACGATAAATACAATGAAAATTGAATCAAATAACAATTTTAATTCTGTAGAACTACGATTTGACATTGATGAATACCCTCGTCTCTTGAATCGCTGTCCACTGCAACCTTCTTCTACAAGGGGGCCTTGCGATTTTTGATAGTTTTTAAATTGAACAAAAACTGATTCAATTAATTGTACTCGTTGATTTGACAACTGATACAACGCCTCACGAACCACCACCAAAAAATTAGAAATTCCGATGATAAAAGAGAAATCATATATACCGATTAAGACCATCCTAAGGATGGAATCTATTATTATAAGCGATTGAAAAGGAATTTTAGGGCTTATCATTGATCAAGGAACCAGTGGTAGCCCCTACCAATAATCACAATGGAGATCAAGGAGAGAAGGAGGAAAAAGGGAGAATGGGAGAAGATTGAAGGAAAACCCTAAGAAAAAACTGGAAAAACCCTAGTAAAAAACTAGGAAAAACACCCTCCCAAGGAGAAAACTAGAGGGAAAACCTTAGCAAAAAACTGAAAGCTTAGTATGAATTTAATAGGGGAGAAAGGAAGTATTTACATTGCTAATAAGTTTTTGCCCAAATTGTAAAACATTGATCTAAAGAATTGGACAGTTGCTAGCAATAGAAATGGAGTGAGTGAGTGAATTTACTAGTAATAGACTTGGAATTTTATACGAATTTGGGCAAGAATTTACTATTATTGCTGCAGATTATGTACGTACCACACTTTCCCGTACTCCCGCAAATACTTCAGCTTTCATTCACCTTCAGATCAAAATAGTAGAGAAATTGGAACTGGTAGTTAAATAGGAGTAATGGAGACGATAATTAGTTAATTACACAGGAAGGGCAGCATTAATGGAGTTGCATACTTGAGTAGTAATGGTGCAGGGAGCATAAATGGTGGTCAGAGGGAGCATAAATCGTGATCTCTGATGCACGGAAACGTGAAAATTCATCGCCGAAACGTTTTGGAAACGTTTTACATTTCGAAACGCGTTTTGAGACGCATTTGAAAGTTTCCTGGTTTTGCGAAACGTCTCACACCATTTGTAAGATTGGAAACCTTGGGGAAACTTAATCAAGGGTATAAAAAAGCGTTTCCCCTTTAATAAAAATAATTAAACCTTGGTGGTTTGGGGTTTATTTTTGTTTTAATTTGAGAGAAAAAGAGAAATCTTATAAATTACCGTCATCGTTCATGTGCGTGACTCCCGGATGGCCGTATGAACAATTTTAGTTTTTATTCGCAATTGATGAATTGTCTCTATATATGTTCTTATTGCTTGAGAAGAACTAAAGAAGAGGGAGATGAATGACGGTGGAAACATTGTATTAGGAAAGAGGAAAAGTTTGGTCTTTAATCAATTGGTATTTTATTCTAAATAAATATATTTTATTTATTTATTTTTCCGTTTCCCCGTTTCTCATAATTTAATAATTTTTGTTTTCCCGATTTCCCGTTTCCAGTTACTAGGTCCAATAAAAGAAGATGGGTTTAAAAGTTGGGATTATTATAAGTTAACTTAAAATAGGGACTATTTTATGAAGACTAATAAAAGTTGGAATTATTGTTTTTAATTTTTCCTTTTTTTTTAACTTAAGTTTATGTTATCATTATGTACCCGTGTCACGCACGGTTTTTACAAAATTTTATAACGAATTATAACGTTAATTCAAAATCTACCAAAAAATAATCCTCATATTTTTAAATGAAATTGAACAAGTTTGAATCTTAATTTATACCCAGAATTGAGCTCCGAATTCGGATTAGACCAAACGTTGAACCAGATAGAACACCAAAAAAAAGTAAAAGATATAGAATAATATTTTATACAATTAAAATATGAAAAATATGTGAATATTTTTTTAGGAAGTGAATCACAATTATATAAAGAAGTGATTTATCTTTTTTTTTTAGGAAGTGAATAAAAAAACAAAGAAAAAAGTTTTAGAGGGAAAAAAACAGCACCAAGAAGTGACACGTGTCATTCTTGATGTCTGTTTTAGTATTATTATTATGATGTTACTGATTGTGGAAGGATACATTAAATGAGCTCTTTCCCAAATTAAGGTCAAGAAGAACCGCAATTCCCAAATTGCAGCCAAAGTTTTAAGTTTTCCCATTCTACCGTCCACGTAAGCACTGGTTAAAAAACCGGTTTTTTTTTTTTTTCCGGTCCAGGGTAAACCGCTACTTCAAGTAGCGGTTTCTTTGCAATAAACCGCCACTTCAAGTAGCGGTTTCTTAGTTTAAAACCGCTACTTGAAGTAGCGGTTTTTTATTTTGGAAAACCGCTACTTCAAGTAGCGGTTTACTTTAAAAACCACTACTTGAAGTAGCGGTTTACCCTGGACTGGTTTTTTTTTCAAACTTGCATAATCACTCAAAAAAAAAACCTGCAAGTTGTGTACCTGTAAAACATGAGATATATAGCATATTTTCAACACAACCACCATAAATAACAAGTTTATGAAGATCTAAGGAAGTCGAAATTGCAAAGTCGAATATTTTTCAATTGATTAAATATAACAAAATCCAATTCTAAGCATTTACAAAAAAATTAGTTTAGTTCCAAAATATACACTTAGCTCGGGCGTTGCTTCTTCCCATGAGGTGACGATGAAGATGATGCAGCTGTCTCCTCTGGAATGTCATCCAGGCCAACTCCAACCCCAGACGTAGTGTTTCTACGCCGTCGGTTTCTCTGATACTGGCGATGCACTAGTGGAGGAGATGTCATGATAGTATGCTGAGAAGGAGTCGGTGGACGGAAGGCACGTGCTGAATGGCCTCCACGATGAGGTGGTGGTCTGATCGGCATAGTGTGCACAGTAGAAGATGAAGACGTGGACGGTCGAGGCTGCTGAATAAGGTGTGACTGCCCCACCCTAGACAAGGTTTGGCCACAAAATGATGTAAAACCCTGCATCGTCTGTATGGCAAATGGTATAGCCGTCTCTGGTGGCAAGTGGGAGATGGTCTCAGTAGCTCCCGATAGCTGGACGTGCAAATCAGCAAATGCATGTGCCTACATTTAAGTGTAGTTTTAATGTTAGTAAAATGAAATCAAAAACGTAAGAACTAGATTGAAATGAAGTGAAGTTCATACAAGCAGGAGGTCCGAGGTAGCTGGCTGGTAATGACTCGGGGGGCGCTCCTGCGAAGGTGGAGTAATGACCAGTCTCGTGATGCGACGGTACCAAGCCATGTACTCTGTCATGGCCGGGGAAGAAGTCCCAGTGAACGGGTATCCCTGGACGACTAATGCCTCTCGTCGACTCCACTCGTGTACATGGTCCGAATGCCGAATCTCCCAATTACGCTGTCCCCTTCGATCCTTCCTGTGTAGAGCAACGTCCGTGTCTACATCCTGTGGGATCGGCTGGTCTAACCCGAACTGACGAAGGACTCGGTCTGGGAGGTGGAACTCAACGACGTCAAAGCATATCAGAGGTGCCCATCAAATGCCTTTTGTTTCGCTAGCCATGCTCTCTTGTAGGTTATTTGGAATCCATCAAATTTCTCTTTCACAAGTTGCACCATTGTCTTGATTTTCAATGAAGGATCAACGCGAATGACATCTAGAAGAGCATTGCAAACGAACTCGGAAGTCAGTAGCTTATGATCTCCCGAGTCGATGTCACCAACACAGTTACTTGCATGAGGGCCGTTGTACCTCACAATTTTAAACGTAGAGAGTGTTGGATCTTTCACTCCTCTAAGCCTCCACGAACAACTACATTGTTCTTTCCTCTTGCACTCAACAACATATTTCTCTGGCTCTGCCTCCACAACTCGAATTGTTTGATTTCTAGCTATGGAGTAAGATTTCACAGCATCTTTCAGTTGTTGCAATGAGTCAAACTGCTGACCAACCTCAAATTCCCCCCCATTGTTATATGTCTCATTTCCTAACCAAGACATCCATGAGTTATTCAAACGAGGATCAACTTGCGCCACTTCATTGAAGTCTGAAGTGGGGGCGCTTCCTTTAATTGCCTTATCACGAGCTTCAATTACCTCTTCATCATCATCTTCATCAGTGTCATTCATCTCTGCATCACCAAATACATCAACATTGTTTGGGTCAAGAGAATCAAGAATGCCTTGTGGTTGTGTTCTTGTCGAGGTTCCAACATTAGGCGATGAGGCCGGAGACCTAAACTGTGAGAGATGATCATTGACATAATGTGGATCAACAAGCATTCTTGTGAATGACCCTATGCCCACACTTTGAACACCAGTGGAAAACGGTTGATCCACACTACCAAAAAAATCCATCCCCGGAAAGGAACCAGTGTTAGTTTGCACAACTGGCTCCTTTGGAACTTGTTCAATGAACAATTGCATTGCAACAGAAGAACTCTGAGTCACAGCAATCCACATAGCTCTAACAGCGTTGTCGTCATTTAACGGAATTGCAACATATGCCCCAGCCATAGGATAACGCATAACCACCTTCAACTCCACACCTCTAGGATCAACACTCAATTCTTCATATAGCTTGTTCAGAACTTGTGAATATGTCATCGCAGAATGTACAAACACAAATTTTTGATTCCCACCCCTATACGTTATATCGCTATCTTTGTGGACAATTTCTCCACCCCAATAGCAATATAGAGGGTAGTTCGGAACCTCCATGTTTCATTCTAGAAAAGACCATTATTAATCAAAGATATTAGATTGCAAAAATTCATTAACAGTGTGGCAATGTCCTAACATCAAGCAAGCAAACTACACAATTATAGCAACCTAAACTGAGCTATGAAGGTCTTAATACCTCTTGAAGCTCAACATGGGCATAAGTCATGACTACATGTACTTTGAGCTCATGTACTTTGTGTATAGAAGCTCTATTTTCACTTTCAAAATCAGCAATTATAGCAACCTAAACTGAGTAATGTGATCGAAACCATTAATAATTCTACAAGGGTTATATGTAAGGTAAGTAAATCAACAACAACAACCAAAACCAACCACAAACATACATACAATTCTGAAACTCAATAACAACAACAATAAACAAGAACACTAACAACAACAACACAACCAAAACTGAAACTCAATAACAACAACAATAAACAAGAACACTAACAACAACAACACAACCAAAACCAACAACAACAACACATACATACAATTCTGAAACTCAATAACAACAACAAACTCAATAACAACAACAAACCCAATAACTGAATACAAAAAATAATTAGGGCACTTACCACAAACGAGAAGATCAGCACGTTTCTTCTGAAATTAGCGAAGCCGACCACTAAAGTCGAACCCTCGGCGTCAACAGCGGCGACCTTCGTTGCTGAGGAATGCTCCGGCGGCGTCGGTGGATTCCTTGGCTGCGCCGGCTTCCGTTGAAGGCGTGGATGGGATTTTGGTGGAAGGCGTGGATGGGATTTTGGTGGAAGGCGTGGATGGGATTTTGGTGAGAAGACGAAAATGAAAGAGGAAAGTGAAATCGGGAAATTATACCTGCTAGAAAACCGCTACTTCAAGTAGCGGTTTATTAAACAAAAACCGCTACTTGAAGTAGCGGTTTATTAAAAAGAAACCGCTACCTGAAGTAGCGGTTTTCTAGTAAAAACCGCTACTTCAGGTAGCGGTTTTGCTGTAGACCGGATTTAAAATTTCTTCCCCCTGAACCGGTGACGTGGACGGTACTTTGGGAATTCTTAAAACTTTGGCTGCAATTTGGGAATTGCGGTTCTTCTTGACCTTAATTTGGGAAAGAGCTCACATTAAATCAATAAAAAAAAATAAAAAAATAAAAAAAAAACTGAGAGACACACCAAAAAATAACACATGTCATTTTTGGTGTGTCTTTTTGTATATAGTTGTTGATGTTATTCGTTGTATGTAAAGATGGTAGAACCTGATTGAACGGAACCCAACACAAAATAAGTTTGGATCAAGGATTTTGGTATATTTAGATCAAATAAAATATATTTTGATTAAATGGGTTAGGGTTAGGGTTAAGATTAAGTAATACGAACAAAATAGCATAATCCATACGTATGCATTGTTTACATTATACAAAGTATATGATTAAGGTGAAACGATAAAATTTTTGGAGGAAACCCTATTGAGAAAATACAAGTTTATCTTCATGATAAACAAAAATACGTTTATCTAGTGGCATATTTGTAAATAAATCAAAAACTATTATGAAATGTGGATCCCATTAATATTGAGTTATTTACAGAAATGTCATGCTGATTTGGATTTTATGTTGATTTATTTACGAAACTACCACTTGATAAATTTTTTTTGTTTATCATGAAAGTAAACTGGGACAACCTCAACCCTAGTTTCACAACATGAGAAGCATAGGGTGTTTCTCAAAATGACATTTTTGTAATAGGAGGAATTATATGAATTTTTTAATAGTTTTTTTGGTACTTTTTTTGTCCTTTTCTTCTTACTGCTCCATCTTCTTCCTGCTTTCCTCACCTCCATTGTAGTAGCTTGTACACCACTACATTTACTACTTATTTTCGGCGGCTAACTAAAACCCTAAGTGAAGAGGGAGAAAAGAAGGGTATGGTTAACCCCTAAAGGGAAAGTTGCATCCTTCTCCATTAAAGACATTCACCAAGTGCGATTTACCCATTGAAGTTTCTAAGTTTCTCCATTAACGTTCTTCAGTTCTACAGTCAATACTTCTAGTTTTGCTTGATGAGAGAGATTTTTTAGACAAAATTACAACATTAACCCAATTAATTCATTGAAAGTGACGAATTTGCTTCAAAATTTTGCTTCTAGGCAATGGGACATTAAAGTTGGCCAACTAATTAGAAGTCATTTTTCCACCTCTGTTACATGGGTTTGATTCTCAACAGTCGCAAAAAGGGCCCCCATTTCCCCCTCTCCTTTCTACTTGTAGTGGACTTCTCCTTGCCGAAAAGGCAATAATGAACACTAAAGCTTTGAATCAACTTACATGAACAGATAAACAAGATTAACCACTTCAGTAGATTCAAGTAACTAGATCAGTCACATAAGCTACGAATTTGAACAATATTTCTGGGCATATTCAGCCAAAGAGCCTAACAAAGCAACAATATATCTATCTATACATAAACATATTCAAGACTGATTGTACACTAAAACACAGATTTCTCTGTAACGAATAAGAAGATAGAGCCGCGAAACCACAGATTTACAATAAACATCTCAATGGGAGATAATGATAATAAAATTTTAACATTGCAGATAATTTAATACTCGTTTATCCAACCAAACCAAATAAGCAAAAAAATAAAGAAATTCAGTAGCAGAATCACCCAAAAAAGAAAAAATTCTTATGATGTAACAAAGTACAGTAAAGATCAGTTCCCAATCTTCTACTCAAAGGCGGAATATGGTGTTGTATCCCTTCCTATGAAATAAAACTTAACATGTATCACAAGCAGGCAATCAGTTGAATTTGAAGATGTGAAAATCCTCATTACCAACTTTTACGTAAAAATTCACCTTTAATCAGGCCCAGTAAATCTAATTTGAGTTTCTTTAGCAAAGAAGAGCACATACACTTATAGGAAGAGACTTGGCAATATCATTCTTAATCTGCAAATTTTTTGATACAAAATAAATTACATTTTATCGCTGATCTCCCCGACATCTTCGGTGGTCAGAAAGAAATTAAAAGAAAAAATATTGAAGGGCCAAAAAATTATGAGATAAGGGGAAAAAAAAGAATACCACCAAAATGGAGATAAGAAAAGTCCACCAAGCGCCTTTACTTCTTAATACTGATGGACACAAAGTCAGGATCCTTTAAATCACTCAAGCCGTCACCATATCCTCTCCTGCCACTTCAGCTAGTCTCTTCCACGTCAATTGCCGCTGCTCTTCTACCTCTTTCGCTCTGGCTACTTTGTCTTCATATTGCCTCTGGCACTCTTCAAATAGCTCCACATCCATTTCCAAGAACATTTTACGAACGTTGACAGTGAGCCCATGAACAGCCTGGTTCCAATGACTTTGAATGTTCTTTTCCAATGCTTCAAAAATGATAGGTAGAATCATGGTCCTGTTCTGGGCAATTAAGCTAACTATGTGCTCGTTGTTCCATAAGAAGAGTGCTCGTTCTGCTACCTGCAACACCAACAGTATGTTGATATAATTTAAGATTATGCATTTGCTGTGAAATGCAGTAACAAGTATAAAGAGAAACATACAATGTTACAAACAAATAACTATTGAGCACTGTTATTAACTATAACTTCGGAAAAAAAACAGAAAGTGAGAGCAGCAATTTGATTCAACAGGACACTTAACCTCGGGAGTGGGAGGCAGACAATAGATAAGAAGCAAAACCTACATGACAAGCTACAATTTCAGAGACAAAAAGGCAAAAGGTACAGTTATTCAGACAGCCTGTGTCGGGTTTATGGTGAGGTTTTAAGACATTAATTGTACAGTGGATGGGAGTCATAAGGAGTATAGAATAACAAAAGGAAACAAGAGCATGTAAATAGCACAATGAGTCTATAGACTATACTACAATTTGGAGGATATAATATACTTGCAACACACCACTTTGGCACGTACTTTAAGGAAGATATTACACTAGGTTAACGATTCAATTAATAGAAATTTTATACCGCCAATCAGAAAAAAGTGTTCAATTGTTACAGTTTAGATTTTTATGGTTTAATCCATCCGTTTACCTTTTCTAAGCACTTCCTCAAATAGTGTGCCAAGGTGAATTGCAAATATAATATAAAAAAAAAATAAAAAAAAAAAAAAAAACAGAGGAAATACATAGTATCTCAGCTAAAAATGTCCATTCTGGCCCCAAAAGTCATGCTTTTCAGGGATTGCAGAATCACATCTGAAAAATCAAAAACAAATTGATAACTTGATCATATCGTCATGTTTCTCCAAACGTCAACTATGTAATCAATTGGGAGACAAAAAAAAGTCAGTGTATCAACAGAGAAACTAATGTTCCTGGCAATATACACTTTGTTTGGCAAACAACATTATAACTAAGCATTAAGCATAGTTGAGGTGTATTCAACAATCCAGCCAAGTCATTTATCTTAAATTGTGTGTTCAGTATATTAGTATAACCAATCAGGTATAACACCCAATATGTTCATTATTTCAAAAACTAAGTTTCTTTGAATTAGCATATTCATATTTCAATTTACTAAATACATTCCACATAATTTATCGAAGTAATACTCCATATGGTAGTCGAACCTACCACCTGCTATATCAATAAGTAAACCTGCCACCAGCTATATCCATTTGCCGAACTAATTGGAATCGAAAGGAAAAAAATAAATATTATTATAAAATAAAAAATTTGTTGTCCAGATATAGCCCCAGGCTGCTGAATATCCACTTCAAGTTACTTATAGTCAGTATTCACATTGAAAACCTACAAAGTCCTAATCCCCTACCAAAAAGATACAAACAAAATAAATTAAAAATAGCATAACCCCATATGTTAATATGTATATAGGTACCTAACTACCTAAGTCCATGAAAAATACAAATAGAGAAAACGAGAGAATCCCAATTGATTCTGCATAGAATAAATTCATCACTAAGAAAAAGATAACATGATGGTAGGAGCCAAGAGGATCTTGCTCAATTGGAACCTATCCAAAAACATGTGGTTTGAAAGTTTGAAACACAATAATTGGCTGTAATACTGTATAGTGTATACTGAGAAGATCCACAATAATCAACAAAACTATATAACACATGAGGCCACACCGTGTACATAAAACCAACATAAGGTACCCAGGTGCAAGGTTCAGGGGAGGATCATGCTTGCCTGTATGGTGCTTCTGTCCACTTCAGCATAGAAAGCCCACAGATGGGAAACTATTAATATCCTTAATGGCCTTTTTGGAAACTATCATATAATTTCGAATGGTGGAATTGTCCCAAATAGCTTGTTGGGAATTGTAAAATTTGCATTTGACTTGACTCAAATCCTAGTCTTTGAATGATTAAATTTAATTTACGGAATTTGAAATCCAATTTTAATTGATGGCATTTCAGATCCTTTAAACAATGCTCCCTTCCCCCTTTTATTATTTTTCTCCAATTATAAAACCATAACTACCATCTACTCTTCTCTTTCACCTTTAATTGTGGCCGACTTTTACTCTCCTACCACCTTCTGGACAATCTCGCCCACTGTCATGTCAAACACCTTTGTAGCTGCCACCTTCACTTGTGAAAACTACTTCCATAACCACCTCTATTGCCACCACTGCAAGATTGGAATGTCCATTCCTTCAATGGCAGCCTTAGGCGAATCATTGGTCTCAAAGTTCATAAATCCAAATTTTAATAATAATCAGATTTTACAAAAGGAGAAATAAAAATAGCAGATATAGGTTAACTCGAGCCAATTTCTCACCTGTTTGGGTCAACAATTTAGGGGACTTTGGATGAAAAATTGAGGAGAGAGATTGAGATGGGGCAGCAATTTAAGAGAAGAGAGAGGATGGCAGCACTAGGCGCATCGGTCTCAAAGTTTAGAAACCTAAATTTTAATAATCAAATATTTCAAAAGAAGAAATAAAAAACAAGTGCAGATTTAGGTTGATTTGAGCCGGATTCACTTGTTTGGGTCAACAATTTAGGGGATTTTGGATGAACAATTGAGGAGAGAGATTAAGAGGGAGCAGCAATGTAAGAGGAGAGAGGAAAGAAGAGAATGGACTGAAGAATTGGAGATGATGCATGAAAGATTTATTTGAAATGATTAATTTGAAATTCTACATTTTCCCAAACAAAAACTTTTAAGGAGAATGTCAAATTTTGGAACTCCAAAATTGAAATTCCAGATTTAAAATGAAATACTTATATCCAAACACTACCAAAATGTATTTCATAAAAAGTCTTCCTTTCCATATGGTAAGGTAGCATAGTATTATAAGAACTTGGTGATGCTTATAGCTATTTATTATTCCCTAAAAAAAAAAATGTTATTCTCAACGACTCTTATAAATTAAAAAATTAGTCCCTCGCTTTGCCAAGGAGAGCACTTTAGCCAACAGCCTTGTGTCTAAGCTCACTAGCCTCAATGTGTTTTATGCTTCATGCACTAAGGAAAAAAAACTCTATATAAGAAAAGAAGTCAACTTGTTTACGCGTCAGCAACATCCTACAATCAGCCATATAATAAGGAAGTCATTCAAAAAAGTGGCAAAATATACTTCATATGGGTCTCAAACACAACTATCTTGTATAATGCAATAGAAAACTAAATGAAACAATTAAAATAATAAAAAAAAAATCATATACTCCCTCTAATTGCACACCTTTGATCATTATTGCCTTAAGTTACAAATTGAAAAAAATTATCAAGGAGTTGACAACTTAATGTTCTGAATATACATATCAAAATAAATCTACCAAGATCTCACTTTGTAGTATGTTAATGTCCCTTTGTCCCATTAAGAGTGCACACTTTCCTCCTGCATATGTCCTTATTAAGTTAGGTCCCGCACTCTATTTTCTCTCTCTGTCTAATATTAAACTTATTCTCTCTGTCTAGAATAATTGACACATTCAAACTTGGCACACAAGGCAATGCACTAGTTTGACTTTAAATATATATAATCAAATATTAGTAATAAACTAATAAATATAAAGTTGATATTGAAACTTTATATTAATACCTATATAAAAACATATTTCATAATAAGATTTATTTTTAATAAATTACTAATAAACTATGGTCAAAGTTAATACTCCCTCCGTCCCATATTATAGTTCCTGTTTTCCTATTTTGGAGACCCAAAATGTTGTTCCTCTTTCTATTTTTGGATAAAAATATGTAAAGACCATTATACCCTCATTTTTTTAACTTTATTCATTATACTTCCTAAATTACCCTTGAATTTTCCAAATGCTTTGTACTTTTTTCCACTTTCTCTATCTAACTTTTGTCTATAATTGTACTTTTCTCCTTTTTTTATGTACTTCATTCACTTTCTCCTCTTTAACTTTTGTCTATAATTGCAATTTTCACCTTTTTTTATGTACTTCATTCATTTTCTCCTCCTATTTCTTAAGTACCGTGAAAAAACACAAACAGGAACTATATATTGGGACGGAGGGAGTATATAAATAGTGAAAAAAAGTACGTGTCAATTATTATGGGACGAAAGGAGTATTACACTACACATCGACCTTTTTAGTAAAAATAACATTAAAAAAAAAAATTCTCTTCATTCAGCTGTAAGTACTCAAGCCGGTCCGTCCCTTGACACTCGAACATGGGTACGACATTTGGACACTTCATTTTTAGTTCAAAATCATGGAATTTTTCACAAAATACCCAAGTTGGACGCATACTCGTGTCGGACATGGAGCACATATGTGCCACAATAAGAAGAGCACATATTATTGGAGCAAAGGAACATGTTAAAATTTACGGTCAAAGTCTACAAATTTTTATTCTTAATAAATTAAATGGAGAAACTAATTGCAAACAGAGTATATAAAAAATATGTTCTTATGTTGCATATATCCAAAGCTTATTTAATACGAAGTATTCTAATATAACCAAAAAAGGTGAGTGCTAGGTCTTTATGGCAATAATCATCAACAACATGTATAGAGCATACTACAAACACCAGCATTGAAAAATTAACATTAGTCTATGAACAATAACAAATACATCATACACCAATCTCACAGATCTGAAAAAGAAGGCAAGGCACAGAACTGCTACAGAAACCATATAAGACTAAACTGACGTTGTCATGGATGCCATCTCTTGACACCCAATTCAAAAGAAAAGACACTATTATAAGGAAATATAAGTACAGAATAAGTTACAAAATAGGAATTGGAAATCATGTGAGTAAATCAGTAATCAGTGTCAAAAAACAAATAGAAAAAGATACAAAAGATAAAGCTTGAGCTAGAATCCATGAACTCAAGGACATGTATAAATAACATGTACTTAAGAGAACGATAACATATATCTCCATCTGTATTTGACTCCATGTAAGGTGCAAAGCATCTTGTTCAATAATCTAATAAAATGAAGCTCAAGAGCATGAAAGTTCAGTCCACAAGGCACAGTAAATTCTGGGAAACACAAACTACTATGCATTAATTTGATCACTGTGAAAAGAAATTGCTATATAATATTGCAAGCATTTATATATAAATTTGGGGGTTCTTTTCTTCCAGCTTTCGGTGGCAGGGGAGAGGGGAACAACAGGACACAGGCAAAAGGAATTTTTCATACCTGAAAATGAGGACTGTTAAGGCAGCGAGCTATCTGTCTAAAAAGTGGGACCATACAACGTTGGAATTCAGCAGACTGTGTTGCCTCTAATACTTCTTCTAATTCCCCAAGAAAGAGCACTTCTTTTTGGCAATTAGTAACCGGCCAATATTTCAACAAACCCCTTATCACTGTATCTGCCAACTTGTAATCTTTTTCAACAAACTGAGTGATGCAGTATGAAAGCTGCTGATGATATAGCCCGACTGGCTTCGGTTTATGAAGTGGGATCAGAGCTCGAACAAGGAACAACTTGTGCTCCTCCTTCATTGGAAGAGCAAACCCGTTAATTATACTTCCTAGAATCTCCAAAAGCTCACCAATCCCACTGTGTCTCTCTGTCTCATATATGAACCGATAAAAGATGTTATTAATCGCCTTCCTGATAAACGGTCGGTGCACCATAAACTTTCCATATATCCTGTGGAGAATAGTTTTCAAATATTCCCTCTCTCTTGGATCCTCTGAATCAAACAAATCCAGTAGCTTCAACACAAAGGAATGATCGATGTAACGCTTGGCAACCTTAGTGTCAGTGTCTTGGGACACAACATATCTCAACAAAAGCTCATACACAAGTTGCAAATGCGGCCACGAGGGCTCTAGAAATGGCTCCTCCTCTTCAGGGTCAGTAGCCTCAACACCAGTATTTTCGTGGGATGTTGGGGGTAAACACCTAAATATATTTATTGACACCATCTTAATCATCTCATCTTGCACAGTCTCGTGAATCTTTCCTGAACCCGACTGAATAAACTCGATAAGTTCCATCAATGTTTGCCTTTTAATTTCCTTTTCCCTAACCGATTTCAATGTATCAGTGAAATCAAATTGATAACAACAAATTTGCAGCTTACGCAGAAACAGATTCTGGCGCTCCGCAGCTGGAACATCTTTAAACATAGGAAGAGCTTCAACAGAACCCGAAGGCGGTACTGTGACAATCAAACTCCCACCACCAACGCCTTGTGGCGTGGCATTCGGACCACCCGAACCCGGAACCCCAACACGAGACGCATGATTAACAACAACATTGGACGAAGCCACCACCCCAGATCCTCGATTACTAGGTGGAAATGCTAAATCATCTGATTTAGACCCTTTTCGATTCCCTCGTTTCATAAATTTATTCAACATCTTGGCTCACTCTTACCCTCCCTTTCTTCCCCAAATCTCCCCCCTTTTCTCTCTCCACAAAAACCCTAACCCTAGATTGAAAATCCGATCAAAGTAATAATACCAACAATTGAATCAGATCCCAGATAGAAAAACCTAATGTCGATGCAATATTCACCATTTGTACTCCATTAATTCGATGCGAAACAAATAACTAGAACCAAAAACACAAAATACCCATAAAAATTAAAAATCAAAGATTATCAAATATGAAATGTTACCGTTGTAATGACAATCGCAACGTTGCAGAAAATGGGCATTGATTGAATAATAATTTCGATGAGAAATTGCCGAGTTGCAGCGAGTTGATCGGACTCGGATTGGGGATTTGCAGGGGACGAGACAAAAGGGGAGATTTTTTGGGGAGAAGGAAGGAAGAGGTGAAGGAGGGGAAATATAAAGTATTTATTTATTTTTTTGTAATTGTTATTTTTTTTCAGAGTGAAGAAAAAAAAAGTTAAGGGAGAGGAGAGAGAAAATTTTAAAGGTAAGAAACCTTAAAAACAGAAAATATTTTTTAAAAAAATTATGTGAAAGGAATATTGTTGTGGAAGAGGGTAATGATAAAAATGGGTGGGAACATCAAATTTTTATTAATTTTATTTTAAGTGGGAAGATATTTATTATGGTGTCTATAGAAATGTTTTTAGTATGGAGATGTTTCTAATTTTATAAAAACTTACTTATATACTTTCTCTAAATTTATTTTTTTTTTGGAAATTGTTCTGTGTAACTTTGAGCTTCTAAAAAATGCACCAGCACCCCTGAAAACTTTCAAATGCACCGTATACCCCTGAGATTTGTAAAAAAAAAAATGCACCAAATACCCCTAGACTCATAACAAATGTTAATTTTGTTAGATTGAGACCCCCTAAGCATCAAATTCTATTAAATTATTGCAGTGTAATGCTACTGTATTGCTAAACCATTTAATTATTAAACTTAATTGATTAATCAAATTTTAACACCAAAAAGTTTAGGATTTAGAATGATCAATGGAGTTCAAATTTTGATGTAACCAGGGATTCCAACGCGCACAATGCGCGCGGTATGACTAGCCCTTTGAAAAAAATTATTACCGATGGCTTTTATGCCCTATGCCTATTTGTGTAATGTTTTATTTTAAACTATTTGCATGTGTAGTTGTGAGCTGTTGAAAACTTTAGTTGAGCTACTTTGATATGGTGACTGAATGGTAAAAAGATATTGAGTTCGATCTAGAAATGTAAATGTCTAATAAAGTTTAAGATGACTTTAAATATTGAAATAAACATAACTTTTTAAATCAATTTAGGGAATTCATCAAGAGACAATTTTGAGGCTTTTGAAATCAAATGGGGGCAAATGTGTAAAAAAACATTTTAGGGATATAAAAGTCCATGCACTATTAATAAGAGTTTAGTTAAACTTTTTATAAGGTAGGGATTTATGCTTTTAGGCGGTTTTACTGCATAAATATAAACTAATAAAAGGGAGCCAGTGTGTGGGCATGATTTTTGTTTGATAAGTCAATGATATGTGCATTTGTTAGATGATTAGGGTGTTTGATGCATTTTTTTTTACAAACCTTAGGGGTACACGGTGCATTTTTTAAAACCTCAGGGGTACATGGAACAATTTTCCTTTATTTTAACTAAGGTGGCTAACGCGCTCTATGCGCACAATATAGTTAGCTATTTTTGGGGAACTTTTTTAGCTGTTGGCAACTGAGGGAAATATGTAAAAAAAAAAAATATTTTAGGGGTATAAATGTCTGCACACTATTCTTAATAGTTTTTAAAAATGACAATTAAAGTTAAAGAGGACAAATAAGTAAATAAACATTTAGAGGGTATAATTGTCAAAACATTGTTAATATTCCCTCCGTTTCACTTTGTTAGTCCCATATACTATTTTGGACGTTTCAAAATGATATACTTATATGGAATATATTCCTAACATTATTATAGGGTGAATAATTTTCATAAGCTGTGAATAATTAATCTAATTGGGTGTTTAAAGAGTCCCATATAGTGTGCTAGTGGATTGCTGACATGAATAATTCTTCCAATCAAGATATATGATAGGCGATTTAATTACAATCAATTCCCATAAATAAAACAAATAAAATAGGAAAAGACAAAACATTGATTACAAAGCTGCAATCAAATTCCAAATTATTAGGATTCCTCCTTTTCTTATTTTAAGTGATTGATTATAAAAGGGAACTAACAAAGTGAAACAGAGGGAGTAAGAGTTAAATCATGAGATCACACAAGGAAAAGCTTAAAGGCAATTAGCATCATATTGATATAGGGGCATATAAAACAAACATTTTAAGAATATAATTGTCCTCACATTATTCATAAGTGTTTTCTCATACTTTTTAAAAGGTATGGAAATCATAATGTTTGAAATTTTACGCTATTCACACACAATACTTAAATTGTCTTTTGTGATTTATGCATTGGAAAAAAATATAGTCACATGAGAAAATATATATAAGGGAGTTTTTTCAAGAAATTTTAGAGCGCCACATAGGAAATTAAGGGATTTTAGCCAATGAAAAAAAATATTTCCAATTTCTTGTAGAATTAAAAAATTTAAAAACCACATAAGTTAAATAAACAAATTAGATTAAAGTTTTTTAATTCAAGTGCCACATAGATATGTATAAAAAAAATAATAGCTTAAAAGAAACTTTAACACCCAAAAAACACAAAATTAATTTTTAGTACCAAATCTTTTAAAAAAAATTTGTTTACCAACAAAAAAAAAAAAAAAAAAAAAAAAAAAAAAAAAAAAAAAAACATAAAAAAAGTTTTTCACCACCTTCCGTCAAGACAACCATTAATACTAACAAGTTTCTAAAAAAATTCTTCGATTTTGTGCCAAAAAATAGTCTTTAGAGGTCCTTTTGGCTCTAAAAGGTCCGATTTGAGGCTAGGTTAAGTTTGATAAAACATATAAAAAATGCCTAATTTTATTTACGTCATGCAAATCGAGGTATTTTTTAGGTTACAAAATGAATCAATTCCAATTTTTTTTTTTTGTCAATTTTGACCTAAAAATGGACCCTTTATAGCCAAAAGTAAAGGTTTTACTTCGTCAAGTGCAATTACTAGATTTATAATGGATTAAATTATGGAGATAATTAAGTTCGTTCTTTTAGATCGTCGTTTTATCATAGCTAGAGGTACTTACGACCTTTGGGCTAGTAAAATAGCCTAAAGCCCAAATGAAAGGATCCTATAAGGTCACACAAGGGCCTAGATTGAGCAGAAGAAGAAGAGGCCCATGTTGGGCCTCATCACTCTAGGTGGCCGGCCATATGGAGGAGTTTGGAGGGTTTCGGGCTTTCTAACCTAGTCTAATTATAATATGATTATAAATAGACTAGGTGCCTAGGGATTTAATATACAGTTTTACTGTTAATCAAACCCGAGTTAGCAAACACGAAACCTAACCCCTCTCAAACTCTCTCTCTCTCTCACTGCTCTCTCTCCCCTCTTTGTGCCGGTGAATGTGCGGTGGTGGTGGTGGTTCGTGGTGGTGCCGGTTGTCCGCAAAGGTGGTGATTGTGGTGTTTCCCCTTCATTTAACCAATCTAGCATTGGTGGACGGCTCATTCGAATCCCATGGACTAAGTAGAGGAGCAACGCTTGGGGCTCTATTCTCTCCTTAATTGTCAATCAATTTGCTATGTGGAAATTACGCTTCAAAGGTATAATTATGTCATTCTTGTGTGTTATGCATGCGATCTTGTTTTAAGTACGTATGAATAGAGATTCATGAAATTCCGCTTAGAGTACCTAAATCCCTATAGTAGTATTAGTTAGCCTATTGCATGAACACGCTTGATTATAATAATACGATTATTTGAAGTCCATGTTCATAATATTATAATCAATTAAGAGGGAGAATTAATTTAATTATGGTTCAATTATTATATTAAATGTGATTTAACTCTTGGAATTGATTAAATGTGATTTAATTTGCTCAAAATACCCAAAGAAAGGACCGAATTTTTGCCCTAGTATGTTCGAAAATTTCAAACCCTAACCCTAATGTTTTCGAAAATTTCAAACCTAATAAGCCCTAAAAATTTGTTTTTATGTGCTTATTTTGTTCGATTTCGTTGTAAATATGTTTCACGAATTTAATAGCATTGATTTGATGTATAAATTATGAATTTTACATGATCAATAAATTAGTTTAAGTGTTAAACAAATTTGGGAATAAATTTCATGAAGAACCCTAATTTTAAAATTGAATTGGTAGACTGATTTAATTTAATTTTTACAAAATTTGTTTTAATTAAACTAAAAAAATAAAAAAAAAATTAAAGTGGCCGGCAGCCACGGTGGCTGCCGACCGGGGTCAGTCCAAGAGGGAGGGTGGGGAGGGTAGGTGGTCCGTGCCACTGCTGCCTTGCGGCGGTGGCTGCTGAAAAGCGGCCAGCCACTGTTGATAGCTTTGGCTAGCCAACCACGGTGGCCGGCAGCCGTGCAGTACGGATTTTTCAAAAAAAAAAAAATTGTTTTTAAAATATTTTCAAAAAAGAATTAGATTTTATTTTGGGATAAAATCAAATTTCAGTTTTTGGTAATTACCCATAATTAAGGTTGTTAATTTTTGATAGGATTTGTTAGGATATTTTGAGCAATATTCCAAAAGGATAACAATTGATTTAAATAATGTGATTATCCCATAATTAATTTTGGAGATAATTGATTTTAAAATTATTTGATTGGATAGTAATTAGGATAGAATCTCCTAAATTAGTTAGGATAATCATGGAAAATAAATATGGTTTATCTTTCCATATTAATATAAGATTTGATTCTATCTCATACCAAATTTAAAATATATGATATTTTATAGATGGTAATGAATAATATATGATATTATCTAATTACGAATTAAAAATATGAGATATTTTAGGAATTGCGTTGCCTTAATTAAAAATATTCGATATTTTGGTTTAGGCAAGCATGTTGAGTGATTTTATTATGTGGCATTTTTATAATATATGATATTATTTTGCTATATATATAGACTAGTATAGCTCATAGATTCTAAATACAATCTGCGCATCGTGATGTATTTTTGTAATCTAAATACGGTATGCGTACTGTTAAGTATTTTTGTAACTTTTTATTTAAAGAAAATAGATTAGTTATTTAAATAGTTTAGTCCAAAGAAGCCCATGAAGTGAAGGCCCAAAGGAGTAAGGTGGATGGAGATCCATAAAGGTTCAAGTGGGAGCATTTCAAGATTAGTTTCTTAGGACTAGGGGACCATACTATGTCATGCTTTATTTTATGCATTGGTAGATTATGCACACTAGGTTTTATTTATGTTGTTGATGATGCGCTAGAGTTCACTAAATTAATCACAACATAATAAATCTAGTTCTCGGTAATATTAAAATTGCTTTTCTAATTAAAAACCCAACAATCCTTCGATAATTAATGATAGGTTATGCCAAAGCTGGGTGTCATTTTTATATCTTAGGTAACTTGGGGTAAATTAAGTTTTACAATTTTAATTGGTCGTGCTAAACAAGATTACCTAAAGAGTTTAGAATCTTGAAGCAAAAGGTAATAATTGAATATGAGATGGTTAATTATTTAACCAAGAGTTGCAATCAGTAAAGAGTTTACTCACCTTGAAAATGTAATGGTTGATGGTAGGGCCAAAGCCCGGTCAATTATTGCACAAATAAAGGATCTTGGAATCACTTAATTCAATTAGAACCATTTAATATTGAATGAAGTGCTTTAAAGTTACCTATT